TCAGGATGGAAGTATCCACACGGAAAGGGGAGATTAGAGGTCAGGAGGACCAACAATCTTCCTTCTAGAACATAATTGGGTCAAATACACATATATATGCATGCACACACACACACAAATTTCCTAACACATGCAAGACCACAGGTAAGACTGAGATGAGAGCACAGTGAAAGGTCTGGAGCCCCTTTCCCTGCTCCTTTCATCTAATGCTGTCCCAAAGCCTTACACGTGTGTGTGCAGATCTCAGTCCTTAAGTGCAAGTTCTGCCCACATCCTGCAAGAGACATCCTTTGGTCTTAGTAGGACTCACAAAAAAAGGGAAAACCTAAAAAAGAGGATCGTACAGGCTCTGGAAGTGAATTTGGAGTGACTCAGTGCAAGGAATTGTGGGATATCGGGGAGCTAGTGCCTTGTGAGAAGAGAGAACAGGGTTCAAGTGGGCATACTCAACTGTTTGCTGATCTCTTTCCCTGAGAAAGGAGAACACTATGACAAGAGCCAGGACTAGGCTCAAGGCAATGCCTTTGTGCCCAGCCCAAGGGCATCTAGAAAGTTCACTGAGAGGCTGAGCCAGTTAGATTTTCCATACGATGATTATTTCCCACTTGCCAAATAGTACTTTTTGTTGTCTTCTTGGCTTGTTGGCTGATGCTCAAGAAGGTCAAATGGACAGGGTCTTATCAGGAGACAGAAACCATAGGCTCAAGTTTTGAATGTATTTACACGGGATGTAAATTCAACAAACCAGTCTCCACTGTACACATGAGGCTTTCTCAGCAATTTTCAACTTGTTTGTGCCGACCAGAATGTAAACCTAAGGTTCTGCTTACTAGAGGCAATTACAGGAGCATATGCTGAGACTGGCGGCTAAGGTTTAGAGGGTCAGATTGAAAGTGTGAATACTTCCATTACACATCCTGAAAACTAGTTTCTCTGGTGTAGGATTTCAGGACATCTTACTTGAATGCAAAGAAGAAATGTTTGTCTTCACGACTCTGCTGACATACTGCAGGGACTGGGAGTCAGACGATCCAAACTCAGTTCCCCAGAACAGGTCGCTGTCTGTTCTTCTCATGGAAGAGCCTCTGACAGACCTTGTGACACATGCTGTGGCCTCTACACAAACAGAAATTATCCGTGGCAGCCTGGAAGGGAGATGGATACCCAAACAAACAATTCCTGGGCAGCACAACAAATGCTGCATGTGCTGTACAGTGGTGCAGAGGTCGCTGGGAGTTTGGGTGCATGGCTGTGTGGCCCTGAGTGACTTGTGTCCTTCACTGAGACTCAGTTTCCTATGCCATGAAATTATTTCCTGAAGACAAGAGCTAAGGGCGACATCTGGCAGAAGAGCTGCTGCCTGATACATAGTTATCGCCCTCCTCTTTTTTAGATGAGATTGTTCAAATTTACAAAATACTCTCATCTGCGTGTGTCTAACTCCCAGGCTCTCCAGAGACCTTCTACCCTTCTGCAGTTGGCTTGAGACTTACATGAACCTCTTAATTTCCACAGCCTGGCATTCTCCTTGAAACATCTTCCAATATTTTGGTACCATATGGGCATATGTTCCAAGTCTGCTCTGTGTCTTACTTGGCCCAAAGTAAAGAGATCTGAGCCCTTTCTGGAATACACAGGAGATCTAATGACAGCAGACTTGTTGATGTTTTGGCAACCTTGTTGAAGACCTGAGAGCCACATAAGGATGGTCAGTTTGTGCTCCCCTAATCTTCTGCCATTTGTTCACTCTTGTGTTTCTACTCAATCCAAATCCCTCAGTACTTAAAGTCTGTTTTCTTCTGATGACTCCATGCATCTGAGACCAAGGCTCTGGGAATGTAGTTTCTATTCCATATGAGAGGCTTAAGGCATTTTTCCAAGAAAGGCAATTCCATCTAAGAGGAATACCCACTGTTAGGGAAGGCAATTTTCGCTCTTTACAGTTCATTTTATGCTCATTAACAGCCCTTGGAGATTAGTGTAATAATTTCCACTTTATAGATGAGGAGATGGAGGCTCTAAGATGAAGTATCCTTGACCAAGGTCACTCAGCTACTAAGTGCCAGAGTCTGGCTTCAAGCCCTGCTCTGACAGTCAATCACATGTGTTTCAAAGGAACTGGGGTTTTTTCCTGTGTCCCCAAGTTCCTGCTCTGGAGGGAGGCTTTGCCGTGTGACAGGCTTATAACTTCCTCTGGTTTCTTTGAAAAAGTGGTCCTGGTAGGCTCCTTTCTTCTAAAAGAAAGGAAAAGTTTAATGTACATACCTGCCCAGGTGAGATGTGGGGGAGGGTGAATCATGTCTGTCAACCTAGCACTGAGTGGGTTTAAGTCCCAGTGTCCTCCCCTCCAGGGAATCCTAGGGTCTTGAGGATGAAGCAGATTCTGCCTCACAGTTTACTGGTTTTCCACAGCATTCTCATGAGTCCCCCCAGGTTTCCTGAGGGCTATGACATGCCTCACTGTGACGTTCCTTTCCTGGTCTCAGTCTCCGGTGGTGTCACAGTAGAAAGAAAACACAGAGGTTTTTCAAAACTTCATTCTCAGCTGTGCCTCTCCCTGTGTGACTTTAGGACAATGTTTTTATCCCATAGACTTTTTGTTTCCTCTAGGATTTGACTAGTGATAAAGGGCTGTTCTGGTACTTATAAAATTCCACACACTGATACTTCTTAAGGCCTTCTTACCTAACATATGAGGCATGGGACTGGACAGATACCAGTTCAAAATCCTACTTTGCCACTTGCTAGGCTGACTGCTCTGTTAAAATTCTTGTCTTGTCTGGACCTTGATTTCTTCATCTGTCAAATAGGTTGGTAATCTCCTCTTCCTTAGAGTCCTAAGATGATTCCAGAGATAGAACCTAGTTCTTACAGCTGCTGCTCCATTGATAGTATTTTGTTCTTATTCTTTTTTTTTTTTTGCTTTACTGCCACATTGAATATCTCAAAAATTACTTTTAACTTGCAATATGGTCCATTTTAAGATGTTTAACCAAAAGTGGTCTCAGGTTTGAGATTTAATGAGTCTCAAGTGCCCCTGGATTCACTCCTAAGTAAAAGGAGAGAGTGTGCATGAGGGTGTTATGTGACCTGTCTTATGAGGAGTTGATCTTGGTTTTGAAAGCCAAACCCGCAGGAGAAGTGTTCAGAAGTTGTAAGCAGGGATGAACAGCTTCCTTGCCATCTCCAGCTAGGCCAGGCTGGTGGAGTTGCTGAGAATTTCTGGACAAGCAGTTCTTGCTGTCCCAAAGTTTGTGCATCTGTACTCATTGCAGCCTGTGCCACTAAGAGATAGGTTCTTCTAAGCAGCTCCCGTGACAGCTGGTCACAGCCTCAGCTATGGGGACCACACATATCACCTGTCATTCCACAGAGGTCAAGCACAGTGGGCCTTCAGCCACAGCTTATTCAATATCACATTCTCAAAGTCACCCATTTGGTTTTGAGACACTAGTTCTTTCCACAAAGGACCTGTGAGCATGCATAATTGAACTGTAAGAGTGGCTGTGAATTCCTAAGTTGATCAGAAGCCAGAGCTGCCCACTTTCCCTGGCAAGCTCACATCAGTAACCATATGAGCTGCTCTGGGCTGACTCCCTAGGCTCTCTGATATTTCTGTGAAGTGTGTTCCTTGCTCAGGTTCTGACATAAGTTACATTTTCCCCATAGGAACAGATCAGAAAGCTTAGCTGGCACCAAATCCCACACATTCTTCTCTTCTTATGGCTATCCTGATGCAGGGGCAGCCCTTCCCTAAATGCTCTGAGTGGACTGGAGTGGTCACAGTGTCCTTATCCATCATTCTTAGTAACATTTCTATTACTTTAAAACTAACAACAAACTCCATTTATCATATATGAAGTGACTATTAACTTCTAGGTGCAATCCTAACTGCTTTGTAGGTATGTGTTTTGATTCCCCTCCATGCAGTATGATTAGCTACTATTACTTTTACCATTTCACAAACAAAAAAAAAAGTGGACATAATGAGGTTAAATAACATAGCAAAGTCCAGTTGGTATCACTGGAGAATGCTGATTTAATCTTTAGTTTCTCATCTAAGAGAATCTGGAACAAAAATTTATGAAGGCATTGTGCCATAAGAAGTTATGTTTCTACCATAATTTAAACCTAACATAGAATGTGTTCTACATTATTTTTAAATAAAACATCTTACTCAGAATAATAACTATAAGACTGTTGTATAAAGCATCTATTTAACTAATGTGAGGTATAAACAATGACCATCCATAAGACATAGGCAATGCTAAATATGGCTTTGAAACCGAGTTCTGTAGGGAGAATTGGATGGGGGATATTGTTGGGATGAGAGTCCCTAGTCAGATGTGCTGGGAGAATGATGTTCCTGGAGGAAATGAGAGGAGACGGAAAGAAGAGTAAAGCACGGTCATAGAATGCTAGGAATTGATGCAAGTGTGTTACCCATGAAAGGGGAAATTTGAAGGCCGAGCCCAAAGGACATAGTGACTTTGGCAATAGACTAGATGCTCTGTCAAAAGTGTGACTCATTTTCCAGCTTGTTCATTTGAATGCTGTTAACTGAAGAGGGGAGGCTGACCTCCAGGGAGAGGAGTGGCTGAATTAGACATCAGGAGACAGGTCAGCATTCCAACAGCTGTCTCCATCAGCACATTCCAGAAAAGTCTGCGCTGTTGGCAAACCCAAGATGGTTTTCAGTGGCACCTTCACAAATCCATAAGAATTTAACAATTTTGCACTTATTTTTATAGTTAACATTCATTTATGGCAAGTGATGTATGGCAAGTTTTCACTTCATGTATTTATGTTTTCCCTTGCATATCTATGTATTTAAATAAAAAAGGGAGGTTGATTTAAAAAGTATGATATAAATTACATTGCATGTGGCAAAAATTACAAAGGCTGAAATTAAGTGGTTGAGATATTTTGGAAGAGCCATTTGGATGGTTGCCTTTCTAATGGTCTTCTCAGAGCCTCTGTGTCTTGTATGTCTCTTCCAGACCCTGTGCATGGCCCACAGAATGTGGAGATTGTGGACATCCGAGCCCGGCAGCTGACTCTGCAGTGGGAACCCTTTGGCTATGCTGTAACCCGCTGCCACAGCTACAATCTCACAGTGCAGTACCAATATGTGTTCAACCAGCAGCAGTACGAAGCTGAAGAGGTCATTCAGACCTCTTCACACTATACCCTGAGGGGCCTGCGCCCTTTCATGACCATCAGGCTGCGGCTACTGCTGTCCAACCCTGAGGGGCGGATGGAGAGCGAGGAGCTGGTGGTGCAGACTGAAGAGGATGGTGAGTGAGGGAAGCTGGCTGACTGGGGAAAGGGGACTGTTGAACATGATCATAGAACTATTTTAAGCATTGATGAGCTTTTTATTTTTCCTAAAATTTTAATCTTCCCATATTTTCTAAAGATTTTTGATGAAAGACCACACACAGGCTGAACATGGTACAACTCCCGGAGACACTGTCCCCAAGCACGATGTAGATATGCTCTTAGTGTATACTCAAGATTGACTGTCTGTGCCCCATTCCTCTTCTCACTTTCTACCACCTTTTCTACCCATGGTTTTACTACATTGATGCTTCTAAAAGTGAAGCATCAATCTTAGTTTTTAAACGCATTCAGATTGGAAGTTTGTATTAGTCAATGCTTATGAGAGCTTGCAGGGGTTGGGCATGGCTGCTCAAAAGACTGCATAGGCTCTGAATCAGATTTAGTTCAGAATACAGAAATTTATAAGATTGGTCTACAATGGATGCCCACAGAGTCAAATGCAAAAGAGGACAAAAGATCTTTCCAAATGCTATACATCTGAAGGATCCAGCCCAAGGCTTGCAGTGCACAGCAGTGTCCTGAATGAGTCTGCATCAGGAGACTGAAGGACCCTTGAGGGGAGACTGAGAGTTCTGCTTTGGGAGATCAAAGCGTTGGTGCTAGAAGCTAGAGTCTATGCCAGCCGGCCAAAGGCCAGTGCTGAAAGCTGAAGAATCTGCACCTAAAGCCAGGAGACAGTGCCACAAGGCGAAGGCTAAGACCAGAGCACCTCTGAGGAAAATCAACACAATGAAGCTCTTCCAAGGAAAATCAGATGAAATTCTTCCCTCCCATTTTCCTTTTCATATGTTCTGACAACAATCCTGCTTAAAATGGATCGCCCGCACCCAGAACTATGCTGAATCAATTCATCTGGATGTTTCCACTCAATTTGACGATCAATTAACCACCACAGAGTTAGATAACTCAGTTCCATACAAATTAAAAATAAAATCCTGTATACATAGGAATCTTAGCATGAACATTATATGCAACCAGAACTGATTATTCACCTGGGTGTTCCACAGGAATCTCAAACTCAGAGTATTCAAAGATGGACTAATCTCTAATATACTGATTTTTCACCCTGTGTGTCTTGTCTCAAAGAGGTACTTCAGGTTTTCTTCCATCTCCAGCTCAAGACAGAGACTTGACAATCAGTGTGGGAGCCACCATTTCCCACACCCTAAAACTCACGCACACAAGTGGCTGATTAATGAGTCTGTTTCCTGCAATTTGGCTTCCACCATGCCTCTAAGGTGAGACTCCTAGAATATAGAGCCTCTGGGACTTCTAGAACCCAAAACTCCCTGTCCTTATCTATGCCATGTCTTCTGCTTGGAATGACCTCTTTCTCCATGTATTCATTTTTCAGTTACTTGAATTAGATATTACTTCCTCCAAGAAGCTCTCTTTAACTACTGCAAACTTTTTGAGTGTTACTTCCCAGAATCACACTACAATTTGTGTGTGATGCCAGCACAGCACCTTCTTGATGGGATGGATTTTGCCAGTTCTAAAATTTTCCTAAAAAACATTTCTCTGTGGCTGTATTTTGGTTTCCCTCCATCCATGTTGCCTATGACCTCATGGATGTTATTTAGTTCTCCAGAATTTGACCCTGAAATCCATATTTGTGTACAAATGATTGATTCAGGAAGGTTCCCAAGGGAGACTGGGAGGGTTTGGGGGAAGCAGAACAGGAAAGAAGTCAAGGCTCATTCTCTGGCCATGTCCAGTAAAATCAACAGAAACCTGAGCCTACAGGGGAGTTCTGTAGGGTGGGCTGTGTGTCACAGATGTTCTAGATCAAGGAAAGGAGTTAAAACTTACCCTTCATCTGTCTCCATTGTTTCAGAAGTGTTTATTCCCTTCCTAGAGCAGGTAGAATCGAACAGTCATTGAGAAGGGAGACTCTAAAGCCAATTATGTCTGAGGTATACTGCTTACCTTTTACTATTTTAGTTTCTTCATCTATAAATGCACTTAATGAAGTATCTATCTCATAGGTTATCATGTACATTAAAAGGTATGACATAAATCATAGGTCATAGGAAGCAGGGAGATAGATCTTTCTCCATGGGGAGGAGATTAAAAGAGAGGGAGGAGAGAAAAGGGATGAAAAATTAAATTAAGAGGTGTTTTATGCATGTACCAACTCCACACAAGAAAGGCAAACATGTACAAGAAAAGAAAGGGAATGAAGACAGATGGGACAGGGAGGGAAAAGGTGGTGAAAAAAGAATTCAAAATGTATTTTTACATCTACCAATTCCCCACAGGCAGTATAAACATTATGTACTAGAAGCATGTACTAATAGAAAAAAAGAAATTAGACTAATACCCAGAAGATTGTAAATTTTCAATAAACAGAGACTACATTTGCATTAACTTACAAGATTGTTTAAAGTTTTTAACACAGCAACTCAGAAACTATGCAGATGCTCTAGGAGACCTCTTAGGGTAGGAAATGTGACATGGATTCTCAAGGGTGGCAGTGTTCTTGGGGCCAAATGGGAGTATCTTAGTGAGAGTTAGTACAAGATATCTCTGGTTGTAAAACAAGGATTGAAAATCGCTATAAGATTTGGTCAAGGAGCTGCTCAGGTACATTCTTTTAAAGGTCTCCACCTACCTTTAATTTTTTTTATTGTCATTGTCATTTTGCTATTGTTGTTTTATTTGTTCTTTTGTTTCTTGACTTTTCTATGCTTTTTATCTTTTTAAAATATAAAAAAAGATGTGATGCTGGGATTGAGTCATGAAGTGATGCTAGAATTAAGGGTTTCCCAGCCTGGGTATGAGTGTTACTCAGGGTGCATACTTTGCTGATTGCCACCTCCAGCCTGTCATGAACTATTTCTCCTTTGTGGTGCTCCCGTGCCATACCACCCTGCCTTGGAGCCATCTAAATATGGACTGAAACCTCTACAAAAACCTTTCCTCCTTTAACTTTTGGCTGTTGGGTAATTTGTCTCAGCAATGGGAAAAGTAACTAAGAAAGAGAATGACCTCCTTGTGTATCAGCAAGTCTCGAGTCCCGATTTTAAGTCATGCCTTAACATCTCCCTTTCTCATTACCAAGAGGAAATAAACAAACCAAAAAACCTCCAAAGCCGTCATGAAAACAATGTAAGAACAGCAATGCTTTGAAATTAAATTTCTTTTTAGAAATCATTAACAACACATTGATTCCAGCTCTAAGAAATGTGTGGACATTTCCATATTTAAGACATCGGTGTATAAGACACCAGGCATCGGTAGCTCTTCTGAGGACCTAAGCTGAGGAACTGCTGGGAAGTCTCAACAGATTGTGAATGCCCTCCCTATGCCAGGATTAGACCCCATTCTTCCTAGAGAGGAAGGAGGCACATTTCCATTTGCTGGGGAACTCATTCACCTGGAGGACAAGCTATGGATGGAGGATGGCCCTAGTCAATTAACTGAACATTCCCTCAGGGAGCCAGAGAGCAATCTCTGGAACTGAACTGACTGCATTCATGCTGCTTTTATCTATGCTCCAAAATTGTCTTCTCCCGGAATTTGGAGAATGTGTCATTTCAGCACCCCAGGGCCTTTGAGAGCCTGCAAAGTCATCGGCTGCTAGAGAGAGAAGCTTGTGCCTCCTGAGCCCCATGGTTTCATTTGGGAAGGAGCAGCTGATAAAAGACTAAAGAGATTCTTATTTTATTCTTTCCACTAATGTCTCAAACAAAAAACATAGTTTCCTCAAGTCATGGTGACTCCTCAGCTTTAACCAGAATATATCCAACGTTGTGAATGGAGTCTATGATGCCTTGAAAGCTGAAGACCGTGTTGTAAAGTGGTCTCATTTTTGCTACCATTTATTGAACATTGTATATAACAAGCTAGACACCAATAAGCTTATATATATTGATTCTGGTACTTCTTTTGCCCAAGATTTTATTGTGAAATGGTTCAAAGCTATAGAAAAAGTGGAAGATCAGTACAAAGAATATCTGTAGACCCTTTTCCCAGATTCAATGCTTGTTAACATTTTCTAACATTTATTTCTTGTATATGATAGATATACATATATATAAAATATAGTAATACCATATATAAAAAGATATTTTTAACCATTTGAAAGTAAGTTGCACAAATTAAGACACTTAACTCTTTACAGTTTAGTAAGACTTTAAACTTAAAAGCATTTCTGTTTGTGCAAAAATGTTAGGACAAGATATCATGCGTATTTCTGAACAACTACAAAGATAATATATAATATATTAACTATTTAAAAGATCCTGCTTGTTACATTTCATTGTTATGTTTATCTTTCTTTTTTCTCTTTTCTTCTTTAAAATAAAATTAAAAAATTAAACAAAAGGACCTTCTCTACATATCCAAAATATCATATACTAAGAAATTTAGCATTAATTCTAAATAATCCAATCTATAGTCCATATTCATATTTCTTATAGTATTAAACCTGATTACATATGACAAAACCAGAATGTGAGATACAGTTTGGCAAAATATTACATGGAAGATGGTCTGTATTTCTCATTGTGTTTTACCAAGAGGTATATAAGACAATGGAGCCTCTTTATTGATGATATTACATAGTCATTTAGTAGCTGGGGACCATACAGTTCCTCCAGTATAGGTACAATATTTGTTTCTCTACATGAAGTTGCTGTGTTGTGATACTTTGAGATGGCATAAATATTCCATTTTACTGAAACTTTCAATCAGTGACTTTACCACTATTTGATCTCCCTTGTCTAAACCAACTATTACATTTGTGCTTATCAAAGGCTGCTTTAAAAGCCTATGATTTCCTCTACCATTCTTTTTAGCATTCTTCTTTACAGAAAAGGCATTTTCTCCTAATTTTCCTCTCGTGTTTAGGGTACTTATTAGTTAATAGATTCATAGCTCACTGTACTAAGCCACCTCTACAACTCTTTTTGAAGCTCATTCATCTCAATGATGGCTATGGAAGTTCCTT